CGGGGGAAAAAAAGACGGGGAAAAAACAGACGGAAAACAGACGGAAAACAGACGGAAAACAGACGGAAAACAGACGGAAAACAGACGGAAAACAGACGGAAAACAGACGGAAAACAGACGGAAAACAGACGGAAAACAGACGGAAAACAGACGGAAAACAGACGGAAAACAGACGGAAAACAGACGGAAAACAGACGGAAAACAGACGGAAAACAGACGGAAAACAGACGGAAAACAGACGGAAAACAGACGGAAAACAGACGGAAAACAGACGGAAAACAGACGGAAAACAGACGGAAAACAGACGGAAAACAGACGGAAAACAGACGGAAAACAGACGGAAAACAGACGGAAAACAGACGGAAAACAGACGGAAAACAGACGGAAAACAGACGGAAAACAGACGGAAAACAGACGGAAAACAGACGGAAAACAGACGGAAAACAGACGGAAAACAGACGGAAAACAGACGGAAAACAGACGGAAAACAGACGGAAAACAGACGGAAAACAGACGGAAAACAGACGGAAAACAGACGGAAAACAGACGGAAAACAGACGGAAAACAGACGGAAAACAGACGGAAAACAGACGGAAAGATGGATGAAAAAAATCCACTGGTCTCAAGTCTCCTCTTTTCAGCCCCAGGTTGGTATAAACAAGAAGGAATAACCCTCTCACTGAAAAGCAGCCAGCTGCATGGATACTACAGGGCAAAGCCATATTAAGTTACGTGTGCTGAACCCTGAAGTGAGAGAGAGTTATTATACATATTATATATTGCACAGTGTACTGGAAAAATAATTTAATTCCCAAAACGTTAACTTCTTGTAAATGCAGTTACTTGTGATAAAATGCCTGTACACAAAACTCAAGAGTTACTGCCAGAGTATAGCAGAGGTATCAAGGGCTAAATCTAAACAGAATATCTAAAAAGGGATTATAACAACTGCAGGCACAAACAAAAACTTTGATCCGACCTCCTCTGTGTCCTCTTCCCAAAACATATCCTTTCTCAGTTGCTGCCCAACTCACTAGGCTCCTCCCTGGCTTCTCTCTCCTCTTCTCTGCACTTGAGCAGAACTACTCTAGTACAGCGAGCTCGGTGCCTAACCCATCCAAGTCCAACCAATACGCAGAAATTAGGCACCACTTTCCCTAAGACCCCTAAAATCCCTAAGAAGCCTGGGCTGCATCCTTTCAGCTGCCTGAGAAAACAGCAATGGGATAGCAATCCTTACAAAAAGCAGGTACAGCTCCTTTCTTTGAAAGCATCTAGAAGAAAATGTCACGTTGCACTTCTTTCATCCAACAGCCTAATGGTTACAGCACCAGCTCAGAAAACAGGAGGCCCAGGATTCAAACCCACATTTCACTTCTTAGAAGATTACTCTAATTATCAGGTAATAGACTAGTCTGAGTGAGATACTACCCACACCTTCTGCTGAAGCTGGAACATGTATGTACAGCTCCAGATTCTTCCAGGCAAGAAGACGACAGAATAGAAAGAATACAACTCTTTATGCTCTTGGCTGGCCATTCATATGGGGAAATAAGGACACTGACATCCTAGTCTTAATATACAGTTACCTTTCTTTTAAAAACAGAAGCAGTTCTGGAAACAGAACTTAGGCTTTACCCTCCCCAACAGTGCTCTAACCACTAGGATGCAGAGCCACACACACTCCTCCTGTCCCCACCGCTCCAGCAATCTGCCCTGTTTCTGTTGAGAAGTCCAGCTTCAACACAAGGAGATGAGAACGCCCTCACTCAGCCTAGATGACAGCACAGTAATGACGGCATTCTGCTGAAAATGTAAATGTTAGACCTGCGTGGACATCATTCTAAAATTGGAGTGGGGGAAAAAAAAAAGACAGCATAATGCGTATTTCATAGCACAAAATTTAAAATATTCTTCATCAATAAAAAGGAAACTGAAGAAACAGTTAAAAAAAAAAAAGCAAACCACAAAAAAAAACCACCTACCATTAATTCTAAGAGATAGAATTCACATTCTAGTATCTGCAAAGAAGTAAAATCACAGTTAAACAACAGCATGCTTCAGGCAGCAGAAAGAATTAACTGGGATCCAGTTTAACATCATGAATGCACAGGAATTCTCAACACATATTTCCAACAGTCCTAAATGCATTTCATCTGAAACTACAAAACCAAACAAAAATCAAACTATTATTAGCCATTGCCTTACCACCATCATAACTTAACTCCAGTTAGAATAACAATGCCTTTACACATTTTGGATCGAGTTTTCTTTGAAAGACTATTTCACTGGCAGTACTCGTCTGATTTGTTTCAACACCTGGCAGGAGCAAATTCTTCCCAGTGTATAAGCACTTAACAGCAATAGAGAAGGCCTTTTGTAGAATTAGAGCCCCTTCATCAGGCCACTAACATGCCAAACAGCCTTTTAAAGTATTTTCAGATTTAATTTCATATGAAATATTCTGTCCAGTTGTAGCAATTAAATCAGCTCTCATTTTCCATAGAGATAGTGACATATGAGTGATATCAAGGAAAAGACGCGACTACTTTTGCTACAGGAAAGCAGTTCTCTGAAAAACATTTCCATTTGCCTTTCTCTGTAAATTAGTAGCGCAGTTTTATTGCAAGGTCTTAGATATTTTATATCATTTGGCTTTCTAGATCACGTGAAAAGCAAACCAACAAAAAAGTATTATTTGTCACAGTCAATTTAAAAATAATTAGCTCTGTTTAACTTTCGAAATACTACAGCACAGGTCAAAATGGGTTTCAAGAAGAAATACAAAATTTCTCAGCGTTGGGACTGAGAACGGCTTGAAAACCACTGGTACACCTAAATTTTAAATAATAAATTCTTTTTCAAAAGCCATTACATTTTACAGGCAAAAATACACTGCTTTCTGTAAGCCAACTGCTCCTGTGTGCAAGCTTGGAAGCATGCCAGGTGCAAGGGCTATTTACCTTCCCTGGAGCAATGTATTTGTAAACAAGAACATTCAAAAAAAGCTTAATCTCTTTTATCATCATACTACATAAACATTACTATTTCAGTCACCCAGACTCATCGCTTCTCTTTATGGCATTCCTATCAACAATTTAAAGAAAGGAGGTTATATAAGATTTATTACTTTTAAAAGTAACTGGCCCAATAATCTATCCAAAATTAATCATAAGCAACCTGACAAAAAGTATGAAAATATTTCTTTCTTAGAATTTAAAAGACAGAATTTCCTGCTAACAATTATTTGTCTTTTCATTTATTTGATCAAGTTGTATTTTGAACAGCATACTTACATGGTTCATCCTATAAGGAAACTCCTTCGGAAAGGCATACGAAAACCTAGTTTTCACTACAGTAAAGAGAAATCAGTATGTTAAAAATTATGTGATACTTTTACTTTTTTCCCTTTCTATTATTTCATCTGCACATAGCCCTTCAAATCCATTTGGCAGCACAATTACTTCCAGCACAAAAAGGTTTGTGTTTGAAAGAGAAAAGTTAAATGTTAAGATTTAAGACTCTGAAAGGGAAAGAAAAATACATTTGAAACCCAGATTTGCACAGGTACTCAGCCAGACACTTGTCTGCTGCTTTGAGCACCACTAAATCTTCTGGTTAACTACCAACTAGCTTATGGGCACCTAACTTTCCACAAGTTATCTTTCACAGAGCTATCTACCTACTGATGTCATTCCAAATCTGGTGATCTCTTCAGGATCTCAGTTCCATCAGTAAATACAAATGGAATTTTCACATGGGATTTTTTACATAGGCTTGATCCTTCAACACCCAAGATTTTAAATCATGTCATTAAGTCTTAGGTAAGCAAGACTGAGGGAGCTCAGCCAAAAGATATTTTATGTCCACCATGTAAAGATTCTGGATACACAAAAAACAGAGTCAAATTCAAAGCAAGAAGCCAAATCACCACACTACAGATAAATGTCCTAGGCACTGCATTATCAGACATTTCAAGAGTGTTTCTCTCCTTGAGAGAGACACCTAAGGATCAAGACACTTGCCTCCAAGAGAATGTTCAAATATATCCTCAGTTTTCCAGCTTATGAGGATCTCCAATTTAGATACTGAGCAAAGAAAAACTTAAGTACACTTGAAGATGTGGATTTGAGATTTTTCTAAGTGAAACATTTAAAAATCTATTTTAAGTCCCTGTCCTCCAAGGAAAACAGGTAAAATTTAACATCCTGGAAGCAGACAATATTCCTTATATTAATGACAGACAGTATATTATAAACTAATACTACTTCCAGAAAATCAGTACACCATTTACTTTGATGAAAAGATAGTGTCAGTCTTCTGGACTACAGAATTCAACATTTAGACCTATGGTGGACTTCGCTAGCAAATTTGCTGTAGGACAAGATGACTAGTCTACTGGTTGAAAATTTTAACTATTTCAAGAAAGAGAATAATAAAACAGATTTCTCAAGAAGCATGCAAACTGAAGAGATACACAGTAAAAAAAAATTAACCACTTTGAGGGGGAAGAGGCTGGGGCTGTTCAGCCTGGAGAAGAGGAGGCTCCAGGGTGACCTTATAGCGGTCTTCCAGTACCTCAAGGGGGCCTACAGGAAAGATGGGGAGAGGCTGTTCAGGAGGGCCTGTTGTGATAGGACAAGGGGTAATGGTTTTAAAATAGAGGGAGGTAGATTCAGATTGGATATTAGGAAAAAATTTTTTACCATGAGAGTTGTAGAACACTGGAACAGGTTGCCCAGAGAGGTGGTGGATGCTCCATCCCTGGAGACGTTCAAGGCCCGGTTGGATGAGGCCCTGAGCAACCTGATCTAGTTGGTGATATCCCTGTTCCTTGCAGGGGGGTTGGACTAGATGACCTTTGAAGGTCCCTTCCAGCCCTAACCATTCTATGATTCTATGATTCTATGAAGGTAGGGAAACAAAGTATTTTTCCCACAAAGCAAGCTCCATATGGAGCTGTCCTTTCAGCAAGCTCTGGAAACAGCAAAAAGCTTTTGAAGAGGTTGCCAGAAACCAATCTGAGATTATCTTCCTTGCAAAAGAAGCACATGTTCCTAACTTCATGGTTCTACCTAAGTAAATCAAGCAAACTTTTTCAACTGACCACTACTACACTAGTCATCCCTCTTGTTAGCTTTCTTTTACTTGTCTCGCCTCATCTTTTTTCCTCTTTTGTATGAAGACCTACAAAAAAATGGCTGTGTGCTACTGAAGCAACTCTGGTAAAGGAAGACCAGGCAGAATGAAAGACACAAACACTAGGAGAGAGTCTGTTGCTTCTTGCCTCCATTTCCTCCAAATGCACAGCACTTATCAGGGCAGGTAGGGCTTCCAGGTCTGAAGGAAGAACTGTGGAGGAAATCTTCTGAGGGATGCTGAGAATTGGGGTTTTCCGAAACAACACAACTCAAGATGAGAAGTCCAAGTAAAGCCAGCTACTGCATATTTACCAAAGTCCATCTAACTTTCTCACTGATGCATCAAAACTGTCACACAGATCTGTGCTTTGAGATGCTACTGATGTAAAAATAGCTACTCTTAATGCTAAATGCAGTACTGGTCTCGGTCATGCTGGCACTGAAGATGCGTGTCAGTTCCTGGTGGTGGAACTGTCATACGGCCAGCGCCATGGACTGATACACTTACTGCATGTGGGGGCTACAGCTGCAGCCAGTCACCTGTCCCCTCAACGGCTAGGAGGGATTTTGAAAGCGCTGACCTACATTTTGAAGAGCACAGCCAGGAATTCTCTACTGAAAGCAGCTGGACCTTCTGGGTCAAATTATAGCATTCAGTTAAGGAAGCCATCCCTTTAAGACCTTGATGGATGAGATGCAAGCTACAGGAACTGGGAAATATAAGGCAAGTGGGAAAGATAGAGAACTCAGTAACTACAGTGTGATTTTATTGCATTTATTTGTGAACAATATAAGGTTATCAAGTGTATTTTTAGAAATAAATATCATGTGCCAAGACTAACTTTACAATGGGGGAAAAAAGGATTTTAAAAAATTAGAAGGTATACAGTCTACCAAAAATTCTGAAAACAGAGACATTTGTGGAGCCATATCTTTTATAAAAAAGATCAAGAAAAGCCCTAGGTTTCCAATTCTATCTTTGAGTAGTTCATAATTCAATTTACTACTTGAGACTGTTTATAAACCTCAACAGCTTAATGTTATTACTTTCTTTTAATTTATGCTTAGCCCAAGTTCCAACCAGAATCAACCAAAACTAATACCGAAAGGACCCTTCTGTTTCTCTATTTAGAAATAGAAGTTATTTATTCTAAACGGCTTTAACTAGCTCCTAGCAGTCAACACACAAGCCCTCCCATGACTTGATAAAAAGCTACCTTTTAAAAATAAGCAAACAAAAAAACTACAAAGAAAACGTCTGATCTCCCTATAAAGATACCTAACTACAATACAATGAAAATCACCAATACTTACATACAGATGTAGCAGCAGAAATCAACCTTGTATTTGAAACAACACCAAATTCCTGAAGAAGAAGAATGGTAAATGAGGTGAACCACCTGAAATATCATATAGTCACATTGTTATCAAATTAAAATAACAGCTTCTTACTAAACTGGGCTTCTTTATGCAGTATTTTTTTTTTTTCCCCCACCCCTTTTTCTTTCCATTTTTTTGTCTTAAGGTGAACGGGGTAAACTCTTAGGTAAAGAGTTTTTTCATTTATTAGTTAGTTTGGTGTTTGAGTTGTGAGGTATCGTAAACATTTATGAAAGGTACTAAAGCCACAAAAGCTCAGTTGGTTAACACTCTAAATATAAAATAGGTAAGAGGGATTCAAGAAGGTATGTTGTTTTTCCTTAACCCACTTGGAAAGAAAATTGCCTTTAGAAACTTATCATTAACTACCTTTTTTTATTATGTTTCCATGAAGCCTTAGCTCCTCTGCTGAGACAGTCAGCAAGCTGAAAATTTTCTGTATACAGTGTTCTTTCAGAGAAGTGCATAGCTGAATCATTACTGCTATAGCTGCCCTCTAAAGCTGCAGAAGCTTTAGCGTAAGGAAGGCTGCACAGACTTCTAGTATTTGTTCTAAAATATGAGATACATCTGTACATACACACTCTATGTCTGCACTTTCTTAAAGGCTTAATTAATAGGCTGATTAAGAAACACTCTCTCCAATACTCTTCGTCTTTCTCCTTTCCTTCATCTCTTCCAAACACTGAAAGGTATCACAGTATTTGTACAGACATAGTATCACATGTAGACACTGGTTTAGCAGGACTGCTTCTACCATCCACTAGGTATTTGAGTTCCTCCTGTAAAATTCATCAGTGCTGACATATTACAAATTTGCCAATTTTATTTTTTTCCCATTACGCAGACACTTCTCAAACAGCTCAAAAACTTCTTGCATTACAGAGGACTAAAAGCAGAGCGCAGCTGATGCCAACTCTTGGCCACATTCAAAGTGGACTTCTAATGGTGGAGACACGGAGCCTTCTCACCACTATCCCTAATGGGTCAGTTCCTTATGATAATTTCTCAAAGACAGTGAATGAGCTACAACATACTTTTAATTCAAGTAATGAAAGTGTGGTCAACTCTGAGGATCCCTAACTATATGAAAGGGAAAAGAATAATTATGAAAAAATTTCAAATTACGTTTTAAAGTTTGAGAAAACATAAAGAAGGAAAAACACACCAGAAAGGAGACACTGCACAATTGAAGATATAGGGAATGTAAATATGTAAACACTGTATCGCAGTGAAACAGCCATTTAAAATACTCTTTCCAATTCTGAGAGGCCCTTCAGGGTTAGTAATTTAGACAAAATTGTGAAAGATCAAATACTACATAACATGTTTGAAGGCCTTCTCTGTCTCCTTTTCTTAAATGCTATAGAAATCTATACAAAAAAAGAGAAGGTTTCAACCCCCAAAGCATGAAGAATGACAAAAAAAATTTAAAAGTCCTAAACGTTTTCTTTCTCTCATACATCACATAATTTTACATTAAAAAATTGTAATACTTCATACCTCTACTTTGGATGCCAAAAACACACACGTAGGAGCCATTAATACTGGATCTATACTTTTTAGGGAATATCTGAAATGTTATAACAAAATTATAATATGTTGTTTCATACACGTAGAACGATTAATCTATTAAGAGCACCACACTTCCTTTTGAAAAAGCAAAGCTTAAGTTAACTTTATTAGCATAAAAGCTTTACACCATCCAGAAAACAAAAGTGGCACTGTTTTTAATACAGAACTGCATTTTAAAAGGGTTACCAAAATGTGCCTAGCAAATGTTTTATTCTTGTACCATCGTAGTAAACAGTCCTACCTGGCATAGAATCTCTTGAAGTAGACTGTAGCAGTGGCAATAACTTGTTGTCTTAATTTAAGATGTTCACCTAAAGCCTGGATAACTTAATCAAAAAGAAGAAAAAAAGCTTGAGTTTTTACACAACTTGACACCAAATAGCAAAGATCTCAAAGCCTGATTGGTGCTGGGGACTCTAAAGAGGAGCAGCACAGTCTTCTCCCTCAGTTCAGATATGTTCTTCTGGTGAGACAACATGTTGCTGTAAACCTACAGACCTGCAGGTGAAGAAGCAGCACTGCATCCTGAAGCTCGTGGACACCTTCAAAAAGGGAAAGGTAACTTGACTTCATTGTGTACAAAGTGAGTATGACCTTTAAGAAGATGACAACACAAATCTCAGAAGACTAAAGCTTGGATATTCCATTTTAGAGCAAAACAAATGCAAACACTTAAAATGTAAGTCTGTGCCTTTTCCGTGCCATGCAAAATGGATGGGTTTTTTCTCAAACAACTAAAGCTGCCAACACGAACATGGTCATTAAATTTGGTAGAGGCAGCAGGTGTTAAAAAAATGACATATTTAGTCTAGGGAGGGGTGGGAGACCAGAGGATGCAGTCAGCTGCTCCATCACGGTGGTCCTCTGCCAGTTGGCCAAGAAACAACCCTGGTGTCATCTGTGCAGGTAGCTCTTGTTTGCCCTCCCAGGCAAAGGAAAGGTGCCAAGCAAATTAGACGCATCGAGCTGGGATTAAGAGCAGGGGTTGGATACAGAGAATGGCACAGTGAAACATAAGGTTGTTACTTGTTATTTTTCCCATACTTCTTCGCGGCCAGTATTCTGAGCAATGCTTGGCTGTGTTAAGACTTCCTCTTCTTTTTTTCCTCCCTCACCAGAAATGTCCAAAATAACAATTTAAAATACAATTAAGTATATATTTAAAACATGTACAGCAAGATCAAGACAGTGACCACTGATGAGAAAGGCAAAGCAATTCTGTTATCAGCAAATCACTAAATTCTTAGTCTCTACTTAAGCACACAAGTCCAGACTTTTCCCCCATGCTCTTATCCCATATCCCTCGGGAATAGTCAGGATACACCCTACTCTCACTTTTAATAAGCATCACAGCATTTTAACACATGCACATATCAAGGATGTTGTTGGCTAGAAAAGGGCTGAACATAAGAGAAAAGTATAAAACCACACTGAACTGCACCGATGATTGACAACTATTTCCCCCCCCTCCCCCCGAAGAAAAGGTAACTAATTTGTCACCCACTATGATTACTCAAAGCAACATTAAGTCCCTGTCCATGTCATATCACTCTTTTCCTAAAGAGAAGAATGCTAAATTGAGACTACCTTGTCAGTGACAGTACGTGACACTACCAGGAAGAGAGTTAAGCCCCATATGCAATGTCTGTACAAATACTAAAATATTTATCAGCACACCTTGGGAGGTTTGAAAGGGTTCTTCCCCTTTGATTTGACCATGGGGCTACAAAGCTGTCCTACTACTAGGGCATCAGAAAAATTCAAATATTAAGCTAAACAGAATTCTCTAAATATGTTTCTCTCTCCCATGGGATTTTCAGGAATGGTTCAGCCATCTGTTGTCAGAGAAAAATCAAGTGTGGTTTAGGGAAAAAAAATGGAAAAGAGCCTAGAGAGACTTAATGAAATGGAAGCTTGTATATGCTGGGAAAAAGTCCAATACTTGTAATTAATTTTTTAAATATTTTAAAAGAAACTATTGGATTATTTATTCCTTTATGTTGACAAAATAAGTGGTTTCTGTGATTTTTTTTTTAATAAAAATTGTTTTAAATCTTAATATCTTGAGTAGCCTGTAACAAAAACATTACAGCTTCTGCCCTAAACCAAAAAGGGAATTAATGCACTTTCCAACCAAAAACTCTATTAAGACTTGGTGATCCAAAGAGAGAAATCAACATCGATTTCCTTTTCCAAACTATTTTAGATGATGATAGTTTTCCTTTCCTACAGTATTAACACTCTGATGGTTGCGTACGGCCATACAATCAGTTGGTGATCTATTGCACTTCTTTTCCAATGAGGAGGCCACAGGAAACTGCCTCTCTCCAGGCAATTTTCTGGTTGCTTTAGGGAGCAACCACCTCCTGAGCAGACATGTGCTGATTGCGACAAGCCATGGCCAAGACTCATATCCCTACGAAGGTAATGCAGGAGGTGGGAGAGAAGAGGAGGCGGTTCTATGAACCCAAAGCAGGGTCCCTATTCAAAGGCAGGTGATGACACAACACATATCAACAACAAACTCTCCCTGAGCTCCCACCAGCACAGAGCAGCCCCTGACTGTCCTCCCCATAAAGATGCCTCTCTTTGCTACAGAAGTCGTGAAAGCCCAGCACCACTCTCTCCTCCGGGGTAGGCGCAGTTTGTACGTGCACAAAGGAGACACTGTCAGAGCTGTTCTCCAGCTGCCACAGGTCACGCACTGTACCTTCAGGGGAGGCATGGACTGCCAAGGAAAGGGAGCCTGAGAACCACAAACTGAAACTACCTTGTCTGCTTTGTAAATCTTTGCTCACTCAAGAAAAATACTGAATGAAACATTAAAAAAAGAATATTTCATCATTCAAATTAATACTAGTGAAAATTAGCATAGAAACACAGCTTTGGAAATACCAGTACCTCGTTTTCTCTTTTTGTGTTATGAAGCTATGACACTTTGTTTTAACCTCAAAGAATTTCAGGAATTGATCGAACAGGTAAACCACCACTAGCTTGATTTCCTGGTGCCATATAAGTGATAACATAGATGTATTCACAACAATCAGATCTGCAGCATACGCAATTATTATAAAAATAGCTAAGAGAGAAGCTGGGATAAGTATCTTTCACAGATATCATTCCAGCATTGACATAAGATCTTCCAGTGGCCTTGGGAAAGTCACTTGTCTGTCTCAGATCCGGACAGGTAGCTGAAAAAATAAGCCTTCTGTACTTTAAAGGACTGTTGTGAAAATTTAAAGAGCTTCCTGCAAACAAATTACTACTTAGCGACATCCTAGAGAGATTTTTTTTAAAACGCTGAACAATTTAACAGAAGGGAGTTTGAGTGTCTGCATAATCTGATATGCTTCAGTATGGCCATTCATATGGTTAAATGCTTTGCAGGATCAAATAAGCCTTAGATAACTTCACAGACAAGCTCCAAACTTGGAGCTCTCTCCTGTTCAGGGAGAACAGGCTGCCTGCCAACAGCTCTCAGAAACTTGTGGACAATTTGAGAGCCACCTGGTGCTGGGAAATCAGTCTCAAGGCACGAGACAGGCTGTGGTGCAGGTTTCCAAGAATATAACTGAACACAAGCAACAAGTTTCCAAGCTTTGCTGTTTAACAGGACTGCACAGGTCAGCTAAAATACTTACCACAGCCTAAGAGTCCAACAAAAGCCCAGTTTAATGCTTGACACTGAGCCTTTAATACGCTAGCTTAGCAGTTTCTGCTTGCTTCTCCTCCTTTTCTTTTTGGTAGGAACCTCTTCAAAATAAGAAAATGTAGTACGTTTTGTCCCATCGCAAGTTAAAATGTTATATATGCAACTAATTTGCCTGTAAGTTTTCCTAAAACTGTGTTAATACAATTAACAAATGACAACGTTATTGATCTTTCAGTTCGTTAAAACAGGTTTTGAAAGTACATGTCGTACCGCAATGAAAACATTACACTCTCTAAGCAATCCAAACTTGCATGTAGACATGGCAAATACCGTACAGATTTTGTGGCAGAAATAAAAACAAAACAGTTTTACCATTAGTAAAAAATATCTGTAGTTTCCAATATTCTTCTTCAGTCAGAAATTTCAAGTCCTTCTGGCGTTCCTTCAACAGATCTTGTTTATCCAAAATCCATTGTAAACTAAAGGGAGGGAAAACTATTTCAGCAACTCTTTGTCAACATTGTGCGGAGTGGCTCCTGCACAGACGAGGGTCAGGGCTAGCGGGCTACCGACCTCCGACCAAACCACACACAACCTTCTCACGCAAACGTTCGCTGGGGCTTTCCAAGCCGGACACCTGGAAAAAGCCCCAACGAGCAGGGGCTGAGATCAGCCTTCACCCGCGCTGAACTGGACCGGCTGTGCAGCGCTCACGCACCGCCAGCTGCTGCCCAGGTTCGCGTTATATTTAGCGCCATCGCAGGCACCCACTGAGACCGCGACGCGCTCCGCCTCGGCTGCCCGACC